AATGTGGAAAACTGACATATTTTTCACAAATTTGACATTTTACAGAAGCAAAAGAGATGAATCATTAATGTAAACAAATGACTGTCAAACTGTAATCAGAGGTTTTAAAAACAGGCTGGTAAAAGATGTTGCTGATAAGAAGGAGATTACACTGGGTGCTGTGTCAATTAGGAGCAGGCACATACCATCTGGCTAATTAAAAAAAAAAAAATGTTGAGGTTAAATATTCATAATACACATGACTAAGCATCATGCTGGGTAAGCTAAAGCTCTAGCCTTGTGCTGTACTGGATCCTCATATTTGAAATACTTTTGTTTGGTTGTTGTTTTTTTTTTTTTACATATTACATAAGATGCAGTTCAAATGTTTCTAATCCAGAACACGAGATTAAATGCCGTTTCACTGCCACGGCAAGTCCGTTGATTTTTAATTTGGAAATATAAACCGTCTCCTTACTGCATCCACACTAACAGCCAGCTATGGAAGCTAATCTATAATCTTAAAAACACTATGTACATACTGAATATAATCACACTTTTTACTAAATCTGTATTATACTATGCCCTACAGTTATGCTTAACCTTTCAGGCGAAGAATACAATGAAAGGAGTTATAAAAATCACTGCAAACATACTTCAGGAAACAGTAGAAGACATCCACACTTTAATGCTAATCTATTCTGTTGCACACTACCTCTTCTTGGCAGTGTAAACCAGAATTAATAAATCTAAGCTATTTCTAGTGCATTTATGAAAATAACATGCAGAGAAAATGAGTGGAGCTAGGACACGCACACAGAGGCTCTAATTAAACTCTATCAGTGAGGCAAATAAAGAGCAGCTTGCATGAAGACACGCTTACAGATACATAGGCTAAATATCTTACAACAAACCCCCCACCGCCCAAGCTTACTCACTCTCCTGTGCACCGATACAGTCAAAACCTTGGTACATACACTGAAATGTGAGAGTACATCAATAAATGAACCATGCCACTCTTTGGCAGTTTCTCCCCACATGCCCAGAGCAAACAGATGGCGAATGTTCTGTACACATTTAAGATGGTACCTAAGTGGCTACTGTGGCCTCGAATCTGTACTGTGGATTATGCTTAGTATTTACTTCAGAGTAGCCAAACTGTACTGCTGCATGTTTGTTCTGTTCAACCACCACGGCTTATTTATGATTCATATTTTAAGGGGGAGTGCAGGCTGTGGAAAGCTGGTTCCCTGATGACGAGAGCCCTCAGAAGGCAGGAAAACGTCCCAGCAGGCTCCCACACTCACGACGCCCCAAATCTCACACCCACAGCTTTTGTCACCCGAGCCGTAGCGATGCATGGTGTGGTATTTGTGTAGTGAAATAGTGAAAAAAAGAAACACTCATACTCATTATTCTTAAAAACAAAAAACAAATCCTTACACAGACTAAAATGTTGCCAGAAACGAGCACCGCGGATGCATCTTCAATCTTACAGTCACAGCTAATAACATTAAAGCTGTATGGTGATAATTAGTGTGTAAATGTTTCATTTTCAGAACTCGGAAAATTGACACTCGACTCACATTTCGCTTTTTGTAACAGTATCTCTGCCATCTGCTACATTAAGTGACTTCAAGGTGCACTAAACAAAGACACCCCCAGGCTTCCAGGCTCCAAGCTTTTTCTTTTTTCCATTATCGATAATGACAATTTCACACAACGCAATTGTGGGATTTAAATGCCATTCGCTTACACAACACTGCCAGTAGTTATTTACTTTGGCTGGGATTCACTGTCAACTTTACAACTAAAAGTGGACCTCCAGACGTGCGAGGAATCCTACTGACAGTTTGGGCTAAGGCGAATTACTTGTAGATTTACACCAGGGGAGGAGATGAGTCAGCTCTGATTTACATGGCCTATGCAGTAAACGACACCGAGTGCAACACAGCATAAGTGTTTTGTAGCTGATGCGGACTGTGGCAAAGAACAAAGAGCATGCTTAGAAATATATCTCTCTAGAGCGCAACGGTTTAAGATGAATTCTTACAGTTTGACTGCACAAAGCACAAAAATGGCAGCCCAGCGGAAAAGCGATACGTTCAGAAACCTATTTACATCAGCATTACTTTGCAGCAGTTTATTTGCAACACAGTGGGATGTAAAACTATCTCTTTTGAAGGCGAGTCAGCCAGGGTTTGGGTGACTGAGTGAGGAGCTGATAGTGGACTGTGAATGGCAGGGATCTTATGGGATTGACTCTCCACCTGCACTGCCTGCCCAGTCTCACAGATATTCTTCCATTCCTCGAGAAGAACTACTTTACATAATCACAAGCCATTTTGTGTGCGTCATTAATTCAGTCCTGACTGAAGGCATTTAATCATTCCTTAGAAGAGGTGCAGGCTCTCACAGTCCCGCCTGATTATTTTAACCAGACAGACAAAGTGTCTCATTTCAGAACTAGAGGCAGCACAATAAAACCGCTGCAATCCCTCCATCCCGGAGGAAGGAGACGCTCACTTTGATGATTTTCTTGGCCTTGTGGGGAGAGGTCACTCCTCAACCTGCATCCCTGCCCACAAACAAATACCGTCTTGGTCCAAAGTTGCCATTCAAGGAAACGAGAGGACAGCATGCAAATGAAGCTAATGTGAATTTCACACTGCTATTCTGCAGTGAGGATACTCGGGGAAGTTTTCTTGGGTGGATAAGGCAGCTTTAACTGTATTCTTTTTGGGCCACAGTTATAAAACCACCAACCTCTTCAGCTGTCAAATCAGCATAATGAAAAATTCAATCTTCCTTTAACAGAGAGGAGAAAATGCTTAAGGATAAAAAGCAAAATGCAAGGCCATGTTAAAGGGCTTGCAAGCTTCACCTCCAAGAGGCATGTTTCAAAGTGACATGAGCACAGATCACTCCAGCCAACTGTACTTCCTCGTGGGCAAAGGGCCTACACCAGCATTAACCTTAGCAATCTCCCTTTCTTGCTTTCACTCTCTTCCTTCCTTCCCTTTCAGTCGCATCTCTTCAAAACAAAACCACAAACACTATGCTGTAGCCTCAGTCCATGATTCTTTGAGCCTCATGCTACATTTAGACCTGCATTACCTTCAGTTTACATCAGATATGGGTCTGGTTCACAAACACCGAGCCTGTTATGTAGTTTGGACTACAATGAGGAAGACAAGAACACAAACAGCCACTGGCCCCCTGAGCTGAAAATGATTTTACTCATTCACTGTCATTAGCCTCAATAATGACGCCAAGACGACGAGGCTGCCGCTAGCAAATTAGATGCAGAGGATTGTGATGTGGCTTCTGAAAACAGTACTGAGGATAGATGTGTTGCCTCCAAACAGCTCTCCATGTTGTCAGTCAACAATCACACTTCACATTTCTTAATGAAAATGTAAACTGACTGACACAACATTACCTTCAGTTTTTCTTGCCTTTAGATTTGAGCTTCAAGATGTTATTATACTAATAAAATGATCAGAATTGAAAAATATGTTCTTGATAGGGTATTGTTTACTTTCCTATATTGTCCTGCAAAAATCAAACATCCACGTATCGTATCAAACGTGGCTTGAGTCAAAAAAAGTATTTGACTAAATTTTTAATCACTGTACCTAAAAAAAAAAAACATTTAAAAAGAGAAAGTATACCTTAGCAACACAAGACTACAAACATGAAGAAAGTACATTAGTCGGTGCTTATATATAGCAGACAACAGCAACTTGCTATTTAAAATGGATAAAATGTTTCTTTAAATTTTCATACGGCTCTTAAATTTTCTTGCTTTTTCTTGCAGGCCTTTTAAATAAGCTTATCAACCTTTGATCATCTTTGAGTCACATGTGGGAAAATATACAGAGAGAGTCATTACTGAAAAATAAGACTGAATCAACTGTCCTATGCAAAGTGGATCCACTGCATTAATGACCAGATTGCTGCAGTACATGATGCGCTGCACCTCACGGTGCTGAAAAGAAAGGTGAACTGCTTTTTCTCACTGATGCATGCAGAATTCTTTGTTCTGTACTATGGTTCAATTTGCCATTCACTCTTTTACCCTCAGTGCTTCAATATGCATTTAAAGCAATTCCACATTTACTATTATTCTGCTGCTTTTTCAGCCCTTTTGTCAAAGCTGGACTAATCTGAACGTTTCACTGCACATGTAGAACACATTTGCATTTTAATTTAAAGGCATTTCCAAAGGAAAACCTTTGCTTAAATGGTAAGTATGTCCTGTGTTAGATAACAAACAGTCATCAGTCTTCATGTCCACTACACGGGTTAAATAATTTGCCTTAAGTGATAGAAGAAGCTATTTTACCAGCACATAATCAGTAATCAGCTGTCTGGGGAGGTGGAATAAAATTCAATGCAGTATTTTATTAACATTTATAATGTTGCAGGCAGAACCTAAAGTGCAACGTGTTAATATTTTTCAATGATGTCAATGGCAATTTCCATTAGCATGCTCTTTCCATAACAATTGACAACTGGCATCAGTTTATTTAGTTGTGAATTGAAATACAATCAACCTAGTTACACCAAGTTAAAAGCAATCTGCAGTGATATTTATGGAACTACCATATTATTGTTTTAAGTAGTTTTAAGTATTAAGTAGTGCACTAGAGATAATACTAGAAAGTACTAGTAATTAACTACGTATTCCAGTATATCTTAAATAGAAATAAAATCAGTTAAAACTACAATCTTTCTTCATTGCTCAATAGTTAAAGTTTTGGGTAAATTTAAATAACTGATTTTGATAACTTACTCATGGCAGGTGTCATCAATCGGAAAGGAATAACAAAAACAAATTAGCACATCAAGGGGGAAAACAATACATCCATTTTTGGTGAAGTAGTCTTGGTGGAGTCACAGAATTTGACAGCCACCACCATTCAAAATCTGCTTTGATTGGATGTGGCAATTTAAATGCTGAATGTCTTGAAGTTTTGGTATTTAGCCAGATGCAAATCTGTTAAGACATGCCCTACCTATACTTCATGCCAGTCTTCACACTTTGCTCGCTGGAGGAAGGCACACTCTGCACAGAGAGTTGTCCAAGACTCCGAGCCACCATCGCCACTGCTCTGAACTTGCTGCGGGTGCCTGTGCTGGGGCTGTTGGCATTCTGTCGATTTAGCCGGTCCTCCGTGTTGCGGCTTACCCCTCCACGATGATCCGTGCACACTAATGACACCTGCATTCTGGCTTCTGGCCGACTGTCCCAACTGCAGATTCCTTAATTAAACTCTCCTCTTTATGAATAAGGAGAGGAAAACACCAAGAGGTGCAGAGCCCAAGGATCCTCTTGGGAATGTGAGACTGTTCACTCACAAGAATCGAGCTTCACACTGCGCCTCTGCAAGAAATCACTGCCCAGTCTCTAGAGTGACTGTCCAGCACAAAATGTTGCAGAAAAAACAAAAACAAAAGGTACAAGAGGTGGGAGGGCAAAGGAAATGTGTGAAAATGGTGATGGATTGCTGATCAGGTGAAAATAAAGTCCTGGCAAACGAAGTCCAAATTCAAGCAAAACATTATAGAAACCTGCAGTCACTGCAGACTTTAGACATGAAACTCAAGTCTGACACAATGCAGTGGATAAAGCAACAACTTCTTTTAAAGTAATAATAAAATTAACAAAAAAAAGAAAAAAGAAAAACGCTGATTCTCCACTAAGTTTTTCCTCGATTGTCTCGGGTGTCTTCTTCTTGCTTTTTCTATTAATCAGAAGCTTGCAGGCAGATTCAGAGTCTTGGAATTTCCTTTTTAAAACTGAGCTTAGTGCTAGAGATTGCACCTCTTGGTGCCAAGCTTTAAGAGTAGCAACGCGTAGATCCACACAGAGAGATTGAAAGAATAAAACACGACACACAGATCCAGGAGGTTTTCATCTCTCCTTCTAGGTCCGCCTCGGCAATTACGCTGGCTGATGCATATTCGACTCAATACTACTGCATGTTAGTAAAAGGGCAACCTCATATTCACCTCTCACTGTTGCCTGGATTAAACTTACATCTGTATGCCCTGTGCTGAGCATAAAGCAGCACGGTGCACACAGGAGAGAGATGGAAGGGGAGAGAGAGAGTGAGAGAGCGAGAGAGAGAGCGAGAGAGAGAGCGAGGGGGGGTGGGGGCTGTGGTGGGAGGGATATGAAGAGAAGCTAAGAGGAGGAATATTCAGAGAGCCACGGCAGCGTGAGAGAGCAATGCACTGAAATCTTGTGTGTTTACAGCAGCTCTACAAAGACAGGGTGGTGCATTTTTGTGCTCCTCTCTATCTGTCGTCTGTTGCCCTGCAGTGTGATTTCATTTAGTTATTCTGTCAGGAGAAAAAAAGGAAGGATGAATGCTCAAGACTGTGCATTGCCTATGGCCCCAGAAAAGGGGTTTCTCACGTGGGTCTGTTCAACTGCCCATGAAACATTCATTATGCAACTTTATCTATGACAATATAAGACGGGCATGTGACGCACATAGCCGTGTACTGCTGTAAATTCAGCTTGATCAAGAATGAACTGATTAAGTACAACAAAACGTCATCAATTCATCTATATTCACCACGTATTAGAAACTGATCTGATTAACAGTAACAGGCACACTCAGGTGAACGGAGGAGGAACATGCAAGAGTGAACAGTAGAAACACGATAATGGTTGCAGGTTGAAAAGTAAACAGCACATTGACTGCAGCTTGGTGAGACAGTAGATGAGAAGCACACTCTCAGTAATATAATACTGAAGCTTATCTGAGTGGATCAGCGAGTGTGCCAAGGAGATAATTAAAAGAGATGCCATCAGTAGCAGACACGTATAGTAAAGCAGTCAACGAAGAAACCCTCCATCAAAGGAATCCAGCAAACAGGCTGCTGCTAACTGACAGCTCTATTCTTAGATTGGCGACCTTTTGGTCTACTAGACTTAAATAGAGCCCTGAGGGGGAAAAGGTGGTCTAATTGAACTGAAATCTGATTTGAGTTTCACACTGTGGACAGAAAGCAGAGAAAACAAGCAACAAATGACCTTCTGTGAATGCTCCTTCCTGCCACAAAGACAGTGAGAAGTATAGAGGGACCTTCTAGTGACAAAATACTAATCATACTCAATGTCAGGGTGACAGGGAAGAGATTTGGGGACATCCCCTTCACCATCAATGTCTGCTCATTTTTAACAGAGCAGATGAATACACCAAGACACCGCTTTAGCACAGGGTATGGTTTATGCATTTGCCACCACTGTGGTAGAAACATGATGCCACAATCCACGCTGCTCTACTCCAGGACTCCCAAGAGTTGTGACATGTGGAAGGTACTGACAATTGGGAAAGGCCGGGAACACGAGCTTACGCTGTCAGACACAGTCTCTTCATAATATACATCCTCCCTCTAGGTACCATCTTCCGCAAATTTGATCTTCAGTTTCACTGTTTTGCTGATGACACCCAGTTATATCTCTCTTGCAAACCTGATTCCTCCCTCCCACCTTCCTCCCTGTCAGAATGTCTATCCGAGTCAAAATCCTGGTTTACCTCTAATTTTCTAAAGCTCAGTGAGGATAAAACTGAGAGCCTCCTTATTGGCACCAAATCCAACCTTCTGAAGGCGAACCATTTCTCACTCACCATCGATAACTCCACAGTTTTCCCTTCTCCTCAGGCTAAGAGCCTTGGTGTCATCCTAGACAGTTCACTTTCCTATAAATCTCACATCAATAATCTCACCCGTTCTGCCTACTTCCATCTACGTAACATTAACAGATTGCTTCCTTCTCTTTCCACCCAGTCTACGTCCATTTTTGTCCATAGTCTTGTTACCTGTATTGACTACAGCAATTCTCTTTTGCATGGTCTCCCCCAAAAATCCCTCCATAAGCTCCAACTGGTTCAGAACTTCACTGGCTCCCTGTGAAATTCCAGATAATTTTCAAACTTCTTCTGCTCACCTTCAAGGCCATTCATAACCTGGCTCCTCCTTACCTTTCTGACCTGTTAACCACTACCTGTTCTGCCCGTTCACTTCGATCTTCTTCTTCTATCCAGCTTGCTGTACCTTCCTTCCGCCTCACCACCATGGGAAGCAGAGCTTTCAGCTGCTCTGCTCCCAGGCTGTGGAGTGGAACTCTCTGCCCCCAGAAATAAGAAACATTGGTTCTCTCTCAGTTTAAATCCCAACTCAAAACTCATCTGTTCAAATCTGCATATTCACTGTGAATCCACTGTTTGTTAATTTTATCTTGTGCTTTTGTTTTATTGTTCTTATTCTGCCATTGTTTTACTAAGTGTTTTATCCTATTGTAAAGTATCCTTGGGTGACTTGAAAGATGCTCATAAATAAAATTTATTATTATTATTATTATCATCATCATCATCATCATCATCATCATCATCATCATCATCATCATCATCATCATCATCATCCTTTACATGTACACTGAACCTTGACTAAACTCCCAGAGTCACAGGAAGTTAGTGGGAACACTTTACTTATTCAATTCTAGAAATCCACATGTTTTTTAAAAGGAATCAATATAATCCTCTATAATCATATTTATCTTACTGCACCTCCTGCCAGTTTCTGCAGACTGCCCAACTCCCACCACCAAAACTACACTGCAACTTTCAATGTTCATTTTAAGAGACCTGTAAGATGTCTAAACTAAAAATGACACCACACACACCAACGCTTTCTAATTAACAAATACAACAGGATCTACGAACCGTTACAAAAATACACCAACAAAAAATATGTTCAATCCAATAAATCACGCCTGTCACATTTACTATGATTTAATAATTCGCCACAGGCACATCTGCCAACTTTCTTGAGACTGGCAGTATGTGTTTTATTCCTTCTGACTATATCTGGAAAACAAAAAAAGGACCAAAAGCCCAGAGAGAAGGAGAAGAGAAAAAGAAATCATTAACTATGACTGACACCTAATCACTGCATGATGACATGACTGTTCTCTTTAAGAAATGTTAGCAGGCATTGCTGTGAGCATGCCTGACAGATATTTTAGGAGTATACACCTACTGCTGCCAAGTGAAGAGCTGATAAGTAAATCCTTTCTTCAGAAAAAAAAAAAAAAAAAAGACTTCCTAGTTCCACTTTTTCAACATGCAACACTTCTGCAGCAGAGTCAAGACAATGCCAAAGGGGAAGACTTCATCAGTTACTCATAACTTAATAAACCACCTCAGTGTTTAATTCATTACTCAAGTTTTCACTTGATGACGCATCAAATTGCACTGCAGTGGTCACACTGCCTACTGGCTTGGTAATGAACTCCGAGTCAAAGTCATTTTGAACAAATGTGTGCACTTTCAGGATCTCCTGCAGTCTTTCATGCACACTTTCATCGGGGTTCTTTTCCCAGCACCATTATCGAGCAAAAACTGGCCTGAGCATTAACTGCTTTGTACTCATTCATCACAGAGAACATTTGTAATGAATTAACTTCTACTCATTGTTTGTTGCAAGATAAATCAGTCGTGACAGATGATGTACTAAAAATAAGTAACTCTAATCTTCACATAATGCCTTAGAGTGTGGCTGTTAAATTGCTAATTAGTGACAATATGTTTAGGAGGAACACAGTAGGGTGGCTCCAACCGTGTTAAACTGTTCTGCAGGAGTAAAGAGCTACTTTTGGATTAATGCTTAAAGGAAACAACCAAACAACACCTGAAAACCTTTGAAGTTCCTACTGTTAGATCTGGACTCAGTAGTTGGTTGTTAGTTAGCAGTGCTGAGCAAATCTTATTACAGTGCCCTTTCTTGTGTGGGGGCCTTAATCTCCTCGCTTTGATTAAGTGACTGATTTGAGGATATCAAAAAAAGAAAAAAAAGAAAATCTACTGAGCGTCTAAAATATCACAGTGAGTGAATGCAGAGGACTGCTACGGCCCTCATTCAGTATGTGGGGGAGGAAGAGGAGAGATAAGCTGAATGTTCAGAGCAGAACATGTGTGCTTCCCTGATCACGACTGCAGTCGACTAAAATTCGCCAAAACCAATAACAGCACCTTTTTTCAGGCGAGAGACGACAAAGAAAACAAAAGATTGAAGAACAACATTCAGTTTCAAATTTACCATGTAACAGCTGCAAATACACACAAACGGCTATGAAAATGTATTCCACTTCTTACAGTCTTACGTCCTTTATTACTAAAACTTGGAAAAAGACCACACACACACACACACACACACACACACACACACACACACACACACACACACACACACACACACACACACACACACACA